TTAGATCAATTTTACAACCCAAAATTTTAAGTTCTTTTTAAACCTCGGTTCTTTGGGGGTGGGCAGTGGTGGTGAGGAGGGGAACCGGAGTTAGAAAATCTAAACTAAAAAAGAGAAAATATATACTTAACCTTAATCTTGCCAGTTTTGAAAAATTAACCAGAAACATAATTCTAGTTATTTGTCTTGGCTCATAAAAATTTATAATAAAATGTGCTTTAAATTTCTAAAATTACACCAAACGTCTGTAAATGACAAGATGCTCTTTAGAAATTTGTGGTTGAAAGTATGTTTTTGAAAGTGTGGGTGTGGCACAGAGAGCAAACTGATGGTGGCCTGGGTTGGGGGAGGGGTGGGAGGATGGTCTAAATGGGAGAAGGGGAGTGGGGGACGCAGGCTTGCAGTTACATCGTAGCTATACTCGAGGTGAGCACAGTATAATGTTTAAACTTGCTGAATCACTATGTTGTACACCTGAAACTAATGTAACATTGTGTGCCAACTACTCTCAAATAAAAAAGAATAATAAGTGAAAGGAATAAAACAGCTTGCTAAGAAAGAGACTGAATCATCTCACAGCAGGCCAATGAAAGGTTATCTTGGGGGGAATAGGGTTCTATTCCCCATCTCCACAGAAGGTGAGACAAGGCTCAAAGTAAAGTAAAAGAAATATACATTATTTCTGAGGAAGGAATTCTGACCAGGTAGTAAGGCATACGTTACAGGCTGAATTATGCCTCCCCACCCACCCCCCACCAAATCACATGTTGAAGCCCAAACCACTCCAGACCTCAGAATATATTTATATACTTATATATATATAAATATCCTACATTTGGAGATAGGATCTTTCAAGAGGTAAGTTAAATGAGGTCATTAGGCTGAGCCCTAATCCAATATGACTGGTATCCTTACAAAAAGAGGAGATGAAGACACGCAAAAAGACACGGGCAGTGCATATGCACAGAGAAAGGGTCATATGAGGGCACAGCAAGAATGTGGGGCCATCTACAAGCCAAGAAGAGAGGCTGAAACCAACACTGCCAACACTTCGATCTCAGACTTCTAGCCTCCAGAACTGTGAGGAAATAAATTGATGTTGTTTAAGCCACCAAGTCTGGGATATTTTGTTATGGCAGCTGATGGGGTTCAGGATATGCCACTGCAAATATGGTACCTTGGCATATGACATATTTTAAGGAGAAGATGTTTTGAGAAAATGGCAGAAGCAGGAAGGTCACTCAGGTCATAAAACCCTCATGTGAAAGGTGCCCTCTCCATACCTGGAAGAAAGAAGCATCCTTATCTCTGAAGACAAAGGGACACTGAAAAGAATCCTAACAAACAGGCCTTGGTATGTTTCCCCCAGCGTACTATACTTACCTCATACTCATACTCCTATTCTATTCCTCCACAACTGTCCACTCTTCATCAAACCAACATAATAATACTTAAGCCTCTTTCTTCAAGTCTTCATTGCCTTATGAAGGCTCCCGAGTCATATAAAACCTATATTAAATAAATGTGCGTGCTTTTCTCCTGTTTAAAACAAGTGTGGGTGTGGGACCTTTATTTACTAATTTTCAAAAAGTAGAGAGAGTCATACTATATGATTTCAATTGTACGACATTCTGGATAGTAAACAGTAAAAGGTAATTGTTGACAGGGTGTTCGGAAGGAGAAGAGGACAATAAGAGATGTACATGGGGATTTGTCAGGCAGTGAAACTGTTCTGTCTGATACCGTAATGGTAGACACAGGACATTAGGCATTTGTCAAAACCCACAGAACTTTATAGAACAAAGAATGAACCTTAGTGTATACAAAATTTTAAAAAAATCATTTAGAAGTTTTGGAGGTGTCAGGAAAGAGACTATGAAAAGAAAATCTAATGGTATTACAACGTATGAAACAACTCACTGGAAGGGAGTCAGGGATGAAAAGGTGCTGACTTTAGTAAATTTAGAAACGAGTAGAGTCTGTTAGACTAAAGGCAAAACAAACTGCTTATAAGCACTAAAACTGATGAAGTTATTTCCCACAGGAGTACAGGGGTAAGGGATAATCATTCTGACACTGCTATACACGTGTACTATAATTGAACAGTAAATAAATGGATTGATAGTGGGAACCAGGTTTCTCAATGTTAGTGTGGGAGATCATGGAAGAGCAAGGGGAAGAAACTAGTATGATCCACTTGGTAATTGATTAGAACTGGAGATACCGGGGTGCCTGGGAGGCTCAGCCATTAAGCGTCTGCCTTTGGCTCAGGTCATGGTCCCAGGGTCCTGGGATCGAGCACCGCATCGGGCTCCCTGCTCGGCGGGAAGCCTGCCTCTCCCTCTCCCACTCCCCCTGCTTGTGTTCCTTCTCTCGCTGTGTCTCTCTCTCTGTCAAATAAATAAATAAAATCTTAAAAAAAAAAAAAAAAGAACTGGAGATACCAGTATGAACTCATGGTTAGCTTAATATAGACATATATGGTTACACATAGAAATAGTTACAGATGCTATAAACATGTACAATATATAATGTATCAGTATACACGCACATACTTATTTCCTTACTCCATTGGCAGAGAAGACCCAAAAGCAACAATACACCAGTAATGAAAAGCACATCTAGCACCGAAATTACAGTGGAGAAATCGAACCTACATTACCTCAGCCAGGTGATCAAGGTCAATATCAATAGTGATAAATCATGTTGATAGGATGGACCACTGATATAATAGGATAAAAAATGGCACTTTATCCCTGGGGCCTTCCTCCCCCAAACCCACAACTCCAATCTAATAACAAGAAAACCAACAGACAAATCCAACAGATGCCATTCTATAAAATGCCTGACCAGTATTCCTAAAAACTAGCAAGGTGTTCAAAAACAAGGAAGGCTGAGGCTGATGTAGCCAAGAACTGCCTAAAGAAACACGACAAAATGCAGTGTGGCATCCTGGGGGAGATTCTGGAAAATACAGGAAGAGGACATAAGGTAGCAACTAAAGATATTTAAATAAACTATGGACTTTAATAAAAATGGATTCATATTAGTTCATCAATTGTAACAGATATACTATATTAATGTAGGATGTTAAGATGGGAAACTGGGTGCAGGGCATATGAGGACTCCCTGTACTATCTTCCCAATTTTCTTAGAAAACTAAAATTATTCTAAAATATAAAGTCTATTTTTAAAAAAAGCAAAGAGAGTATCTTATAGAATCATTCAAGGCAATAGCAATTTGAATGTACTAGCTGGATTATGATGTAATAAAATAAGCCATCTTCTTAAGAGAGAACATCTATTTATAACACAATGGCAGTAACAATCAATGATAATCCTATTTATGAAGCCACTACATATGAGTGTCTTTTTGGTTCTTGGACTCAATTCCAATGTGTGCGAAGGGTGTTCCCCCCACACCAAGAAACAATCCTTGGCCCCCCAGCAGGTGTCCAAGGATTCAACTCAATTCTTTCAATTCTGACACCATCTGGCCAGAGACAGCATCAGGTTCCACAGGTCAAGGGTTCAGTCCTACAAGATGGCCCTCCCTACTTCAGATGCCAGTTGCAAGCCCACGTTGTTATCTGTACTTCTGATGGACCAGCTGTAAATCAGAGGTTCCCAAGTCTCGCTCCTTGGATTTGATTAATTTGCTAGAACAGCTCACAGAACTCAGAGAAACATCTTACTTACTAGATTGCCGGTTTAGCATAAAAAGATGTAACTCAGGAACAACAGATGGAAGAGCAGCCCAGGACAAGGCTTGGGGAAAGGGGGCGGAGCTTCCATACTCTCTCCAGGGCACCACTTTCCTAGTGCTTTCAAGTATTCACCAACCCAGAAGCTCTCCACACCCTGTCCTCTCGGTTTTTATGAAGGCCTCATCATACAGGCAGGATTGATTAAATCATTGGCCTTTGATAATGAGTTCAACCTCGAGGGCCTCTCCCCTCCTCAAAGGTTGGGGAGTGGAACTGGGAGTCCCAACCTGATCATATGGTTGGTTCTCCTGGAAAGTACCCCCAGCCTTAGGTGCTTTCCAGAAGTCATCTCATTAACATAAGACACCTCTGTCACTCTCAACACTTAGGAAATGCCAAGGGTTTGGGGAACGGTGAGCCAGGAACTGTTGACAGAAACCAAATATATATGAGAAATACAGTAGTCTTCCTTTATTCGAGGGGATACATTCCAAGACCCCTAGTGGATGCCTGAAACTACAGATAGCAGAGAATCCTATACACACTATATTTTTCCTATACATACATACCTAAGATAAAGTTTAATTTATACAATAGGCACACAAAGAGATTAACAACAATAATAAAATAGAACAATTATAACAATAGATCATAACAAAAGTTATGTGAAGGTGGTTTCTCTCTCTAAAAACTTCTTATTGTACTATACTCACCTTCCTTCTTGGGATAATGTGAGATGACAAAATGCCTACATGATGGGGTGAAGTGAGGGGCATGATGTAAGCACCATGACATAGCATTAGGCTCCCACTGAACTTCTGATAACGCATCAGGAGGAGGATCATCTGCTTCTGGACCACGGCTGACCTCAGGTAACAAACTGCAGAAAAGGGGGACTACTGTATATTTTGGTCATCTGAATGACCAAACATATAATTCTTATAAATCACAGTCTCACAGAGTGTGTCCTCCCAAAATCCATACGTCAAATTCTTACCCCTGAAAGTGATGGTATTAGGAGGTGGGGCCTTTGGAAGGTGATTAGTGCCTTATTAAAAAGGCTCCAAATGAGGATACAAGAAATCTGTAACCTGAAAGACAGCCCTCACCTGACCATGCCAGCACCCTGATTTCAGATTTCTGGCCTCCAGAACTGTTAGAAATAAATTTCTGTTATCCATAAGTGACTCAGTATTTTGGTATAGCAGCCCAAATGGACAAGACATAAGCATTTCAAAATCATTATCTTATTCGATGTTCACCACACCTCCAAGAAGAATTTGAGAAAAAAAGTATGCCAGGTTTGTATTTATTGGAAAACATAAGAGATAATAAAATGTACAATATATCTTTCTAATCACTGCACATGAAATGAATAAAACAAAGACCAGGGAAAATGCAACATACAATTAAATAGGCATATTTCTTAACATTTGTGAAGCAACTTGGATGCCTTTCTCCCTGGTGAAGTACGGTGCCTCTTTATGGAGCATTCTCATTATCTAGCCTTTCCCGTGTCTATAAATTTCTATGTGGACACCCAAAGGTAAGGGTAAGACACCGGGTCTTACTTCTCAAATGACCTTGATTGTAGCCTCCCAAATCTGAAAACAGAAATTTAAACAAGTTTCACTAAATTGAATACTTACGTCTTATACCATGCAATATGTTCTATTTTTTTTTTAAGTTAACATTTTAAGTTGTAAAATTCAGATAAATTTTACTAGATTCTATGGTATCTGATGATCAGTGATTAGATATCTGGAATATTTAACAATAAAAATTCCAAAAATCCAATAACATCTTAACAGCTTAAGAAGCTAAAATTCGGGAAGTTCTCATTGGGGAAAATATCATGTGAAGTTTCTTCTCAATTAACTCGTTTTAGGTATGTCCGCAAAGCACCTGAGTTTGGCCATTGTGTCCAGTACCTGCTTTGTTTCTGACCTTTGGCTTGAGGGAGTGGCTCAGGCTCCTGAGCTGACTGAGGTTTTTTCCTCTTCCAAATGGGCTCCTACTTGGCTCCTGGGCATGTTACCCCCTCTCAGTTCTGCATGGGAGAAGATGAGAACTCAACTAAAATCTTAATATTACCATAAAACAGAAAAGCCAGCATTCCAAATCCTAAAATGGTATCTTATTTCACTGGAATTTAAATACCTTTTAACAATTAATTCCCAGAAACTTGCTTGAATTTTGCAGACTTGAAATTTTAGACAGCTAGATTTATGGCTTGGTTTAGAGATGTATAAAATGGAATACATTTTCCAAAGTATCTTCCTTCTCAAATTCTTTTGAAACTAAGAGACTGTATGTACATTATCGCAGGCAGCAAATTGCCCAGAACCAGGATCTTAATGCAAGACTTAACCTTTACAAATCATCTTATCTCCTTCACTCTCCCTTCGACTGTGGGGGGAAAAAAGTGCCTAAGGTGTTACTTGCTGAGTTCCCTCTTGGTGACAGGCTTTGTGCTAGATGTTGAATATCCATTATATCATTTAGTCTGCTCAGTAACTTCATGCAGAATTCAGTATTTTCCCGTCTTAAAAAAGGCAAATTAAATTCCTAAAGTTTAACTAAAATAGCTGAGTCACCCTGGAAGTAAAGTCTTCATGGAGACTCGAACTCAGAGCTGTAATTCAAAGGCTGTGTTCTCCCTCCAACACCACACAGTTCAAGGAGGTAGACAGACTGTTAAGCCAGGAAGCCTGCTGCAAAACTTTCACCAATGTTGAATTAAACATAGCACTTCATTCCACTATAAACATGGACCAGTAGTCACTAGTAGCCTCAGGTATTCAGGTCATTGTAACTTCACCTAAATAGAAATATCTGCCCCAAAGTTCACGGCACTAATAAGATTAAGAACACCTACCTAAAGCCATATAATTAGAAATATTTGAATAAGTAATGACATACAAATTGGTTTTGGTTATTGTATTTTGACTGAACTAAGACATCAATTCTACTAATCAATAATACCCAATCTGGGCATCACATATTTCTCACGTAATTTCTCATAATATATACTCCATGAAAGGATCTCTTTCGATTAACTTAGCAAATCAGCCTTTCACACTTGCGTCATCAGAAGAAACTCAACTGTTCTCTGCTACTCCACCTGTTCCTGGATACCTCCCACTTTAAGCAAGGCAGGTCTGCAATGGGATGTCAAGGGCACCAGGAAAGATTCTGTTCCCTTCTTCCTCTCCCCTCCACCAGATTTATGCTAATTATGGATGCCTGTACTCTCTTTAGGAATTTAGGGGTTAGGAGAGCCCCTTCAAAAAATTTTTGTATCATTATTAGAGGTAAGATTTCATAGTCAAGTGCCAGGTATAAAAAGCACACTGTTTCTCCCAAGGAAAGTTGTAATAGGACAACTATGCAATCAGCAAGAAGCATCAAGAAGGGAGGGAAAAGAGCACAGTAAGAGAAATAAGGTACCAAGGTCTCTCTCACAATTTTGCTCTAAACTTTAGTGATTCGCTTAATTCTAGTTACAATTTCCAGTTCCCCGGTTTCCATTTGCCAAACAGAAGTGGTAACGCGTGCTCGCTGCTCACGGACTGGCTGTGTGGGGAAGACACGACCAGCCTCCTGGGCATCAAACGCTTTGCATTCAGTCAAGCAAATGTCACATGCCACAGTAAGTGATGGCAAAACCATCTCTTCCTTATGATGGATGTCACCATGGCCTGTCCTTTCCTGCTAATAATGTAGTTCTTCAATCTCTAGGCTTCCCACAACACAGGAAGACTGCAATTACGTGTGTTTTTAGGCTGACTCATTTCTAATGATAACGATCAGTATTTAAGTTAATTAGGAAGATTCTTTTGATGTCCTTTATTTCATTCACAATTAGTCTCCTGCTATATGTTGTTTTTTTTTTAATAAACTCCCAGCCAGTGATGGGAGGAGAAGGAATCATTTTACTATCCTCAACTTCATCTGCTTTCAGAGAATTGCTCACCGAAGCGCCTAAACAGAGTTTGAGTTACTCTGAGCTGCCTCGGATAATGGAATTCTGAATCCAGGTCCAGAATGGGTACCTGATGTGAGAAAGGTCAAAAGTCCCTTTCTCTCGGTTTTGGGTCAATTCATTCTTTCAACCAAGTCCCTATTAAAGTTCAAGTTGAATTTCCAGACTCTAGCACCTTGGCACAGATGACTTTAGCCATTAGCCAACTTCAGAGAACAAGGCCCTAAGGGAATGGACAAAGAGATGGGTAAAACTAGATGATATGCAAAGCCTGCAGATTCTGCTGGAGAAGTGTGAGGTGAGGGCTGCTCTTCGGGAAAGAGCAGGGACAGGAGGGCCCTACAAAGGTCTGCAAAGGAGGTGAGCCCTCCCAGAGGAAGTCTTCAGCACTTTAAACACTGGCTTTTTAATCAAATGACTGCTGTTCCATAGCTTGAAACAACTCCAGATGAATGTTTTTCCCAACAGGTCACAGAGGCAGAGTTGGGGGCTGTCAACGGCAGCCTGGACAAGGAGGATGAGTGTGGTCAGTGGCAAAAACCAAGGTCATACTATTCATAGGTTCTCCAGGATGGCCTGTGACTGGAATTCATACAGTCATTCAGTCAACCCTGAAGGCAAATCCATTCAAGCTACAGAGAATCCTAAGGAGTGATCCTTCCCCAGAAGGTGCTCATCATCTTGGGTGGGAATGAAATGTTCCGACCACTCACAGACACTGACAGAGCTGGGGTGAGACTCTGTGAGTGAGATGTCCTAGAGCATGGTAAACGGGGCTCACCGAAAGCACGCCTCTGAGCCCTCAGCAGGAAGCTCCATTTCTATTTAAAGACTACACCACAGATGGAGATCACTATCTTGTGTGTGCGGATGTGGCTGACAAAAAAATAAATAAATAAACAACCTCCTCTTCATTGCCTGTATGTGGAGACTGACATTTGGTTTATAGCTGCAGAAACTGCTTGCTATTCCAGATGTCAGGGGGTTCCATTACTCTACTTCACACACAATTACATACTGCTCCAGCACAAACACACCCCACCATCCCCACCCCCACATTGCTAAAGCTGTCAACATTCCCCCACCTGCAGTTTGCCATTCTTTCAGAGTTCTAAGCCACAGAGCTACCACCTCCCTGAACTGAATATCTTCTTTCTCTTCTTTGCTTGGTGAGATCCTATTCATCCTTCAAAACCCAGTTGAGCCATGACTGCCACTGTGATGCCTCTATCACTAAAAGTCATTCCTCCTCATTCCTCCTCAGTCACCACATTTGCCTCTTATCTCCACTGTGGCACTGATACAGCATTCAGTTATGTTGTTTCTTCAAGGGCTTATCCCTCCAAAGAGTAATCATTATTTTGTAAGCATTTAGAATGGCTCCTGACAAGCCCAGATGTCCATCGACTGATGAATGGATAAAGAAGATGTGTGTGTGCGCGCGCGCGCGCGCGCGCGCACAGGAATATTACTCAGCCATCAAAAAGAATGAAATCTTGCCATTTGCAATGAAGTGGCTGGAGCTAGACTGCATTATGCTAAGTGAAACAAGTCAGTCAGAAAAGACAATTACCGTATGAGTTCACTCATGTGTGGAATTTAAGAAACAGTTTAAACAGATGAACATATGGGAACGGGGGAGAGAGGAAAAAAAAGGAGAGGGAAACAAACCATAAGAGACTCTTAAGGAAAGAAAACAAACTGACAGTTGATTGAGGGACATGGGCGGGGAGTGGGTTAAATGGTGATGCGTATTAAGGAGAGCACTTGTTGTGATGAGCACTGGGTGTTAAATGTAAGTGATGAATTACTAAATTCTACTCCTGGAACCAATATTGCACTATAGGCTAACTAACTAGAATTTAAATAAATATTTGAAAAAAGAATGGTTCCTGACAAATAAATCACTGATGAATTAATGAAGAAATTAATAGCCTACTCCTCTGATAAAATTGTTTTCGGGGTGTCTGGCTGGCTCAGTCAGTTAAGCGTCCAACTCTTGATTTCGGCTCAGGTCATGATCTCTCAGGGTCGTGAGATAGAGCCTCGTGTTGGGCTCCAAGCTCAGCAGCATGTCTGCTTGAGATTCTCTCTCCCTTTCCCTCTGCCTCTCTCCCTCATGCTTGCTTGCATTCTCTCTCTTTCTAAAATAAATAAATAAATCTTTAAAAGAACTGTTTTCCAGCAAGCATCAGTTTAGTGCTGCCATATTGACTGTATTACAACCTATTTGGAAGCCATTTGGATGGCTTCATCTGAAGCCATCACTGTAGCTCAGAGATGAAGCTGTGAAGTAAAGGGTAAGAGGTTGGGTACATATTTGTTACTTGAAGAAGCCTCAGAATTTTTAGAAAAAAAAAAAAAAAGACAGAGCTTCTCCTCTACAGACTTGCAATTTACTCTATAACTTGATTTACTCATGGTCACAGACTCAACCTCCAAGACCAGAGGCCACTCTGAGCTAGACTCAGGTCAGTGAAAGCAGCATCAGTAACAGCCCTCATCACCTCGAACTTGTACCAATCACTACCCCGAAGCAAGACAGAAGTCTTCATCAGTCCTTGCCAAACATTACTGAACACTCCAAATACCCACCCCTGCCCTCCATCATCAGCCGGTGGAATCCTAAGCACTTACACTTGGAAAGGATCTAGCAATCACCTGTTCTGACTCACCACCAAAGTAGGAACCTACTCTATTCCGTTTAGAGCAGATGGTCGCCAACATCTGCTTAAAAACGTCTACAACCAAGAAGCTCCTTACTCTGTGAGGTATCTATCTATGAAACTCTCTGAGCAACTGCAGAGCTTAATGAGCAACTGTAGAGCTTAATGAGCAAATACCCATAAAGCACATAGTACCTGGCACACAGTAATTCCTCAGTACATGTTATTGACATTTTTTATCATTATCAACTCTCAAACCCTTTTTATTTCACTGACAATCCCCTTTTAAGATACAAAACAATGTCCAAGTGAGCAGAACGTTATGTCTAGTACACTTCAGTTTATATAAAATATGAAGAATCTACATAAATGTATGATGATGTGTGTGAGTGTGCATGT